GGTAGGAAAGGGAGGGAATTGGGGTGACGGGGCGTAGGGAAGGCTTGAGGGGGCAGCAACTGGGGCTGAACTGGGAGGGAATGGGAGGGAGGTCTGGGGGGCCTGGGGTGGGATGTTGTCAGAGCTGGGCTTGAGGATCGGAGTGGTCACACAGCGGGTGAAGCTGTTATTGGGAATATTCCTGCTGCCTTCCCAACCCTGCAAGATGGTGGCGCTGGCAGTTGGGGGTCGGGCGGGCCCTGGTGGCACAGATGGGTCCTTGGGGTGACAAAGCCAGGCCCTTCTTCTCTGGGCACCTTGGTCAGTCCCAGTGGCCCCTCTCCTTCCCTGAGGCTTGGCTGTTCAGGCGTAGGCAAGGTTGGTTTTGGAGGCTTTTCCCAAGGAAGAGCAGGGCCCGGATAGGGCTGTGCTGTGCGGTGGATGCGTCGTTCCGACCCTGGAGAAGCCAGTTGGGCAGCTGAGCCCCGCGCTGCTTTTGCGATGCTTTTTCTCTTCCGTTTGCAGGTGGAACAGCTCCTGGGGAGCTCAGCCCCTGCTGGGGCGCAGGAGAGGGCAGAGCGCAGCCCTACACTGGCTCTTCCTGCAGCTTCTCCGTCTCTTTGCGCAGATCACCGCCGAGGAGTCAGAGGATGAGCTGCCACCCAGAGAGGAGCGAGCGAAAGCCCTGCTCAGCGAGCGGGATGCACCAGGAGGGAAGAACGAAGGGGCTGTAACTGAAGAGACAGAAGGTGATGGGCAGAGAGATGGGGAGGAGGCAGAGCAGCCGGACCAAACGGTAACTAAACTGCGGGGATTTAGTGACGAAGGCGATCGCCAAGGCGAGCCGTGGGGCGAAGTTGTCTTATTTCCTTGTCTCTGTGTGCACTGAGGGGCTTTGTGGTGACGGACAATATGTTGCTCTTCCCTTGCGCCTGGGTTTTGTTGGAGGATGAGGATGTGAGTCTCGGGAAGAGGGATGTGATCAGGGAGTTTAAACCTGAGCGCGTGGGGCTCCAGACCTGGAGGAGTACGAGCTGTTTGGTGCTGATGGTTTGCACCTAGGATCCGCGGAGATTTTCCAACGCAGAGGGAAGGTTCTGAAGTAAAACCTTGTGCTGTGTCTTCATGAGCGTGTCAGAAGGAAAGCACCTGGGGTCTCTGAAACAGAGATCACTTCTCTGCTCCCTTCACCGCACAATTAATTTTGCTCTGTGCTCTGCGTGGGGCTGGGCTGGTGAGTAGATGCTCAGCAAAGTGTTTGATTTGGAGGAGATGATGTGAAGACTCCAAGTAATGGAAACTAAATGGTGTGCTTGTTCTTCCCTGTAGCTTTTTTTTGTCATTTTGTGTTAAAATTTCTTTCTGTGCTCAGCTCAGAAGCGTCTCCTTGTGGAAGTGTGTAAGGAAAGGGCCACTTTAATTAACATGAAACATCACAAGTCCAGCCCGTATCTTGCTGGAGATGAGGTTCAGGGGGAGCGGAGGGGGTTTGGCCCCCTGGTCTCACCTGTTAAGGCTCAGTGTCTGGGGCCTGTGCCCGTGGGTTTTGGGTGCCAGGCGGTGTTGCCAGAGGAGCAGAGACCACTGTGTGTGCATGGCCCGGCTGTGCTGGTGCCTCAGCCAGCCCAGGGGCTTGGGAACACTCTGGATGTGCTGTGTGAGCTGAGCTTGGCCGGTCCCCGCCTGAGCAGTGACTCCAGCAGGCCTGAGCCAGTGAATTCGCTGTGCAAACGCTGCAGGGTTACCTGCTGCTGCGCTTGGAGCCTCCCGGGTGGGAGTGTGGGAGCCCTCAGGGTGTCTCCCTGCTGTTTCATAGAGCCTCGTCGGGGCTGCACATTCCCCTGGTGTTGAAGGCAGCTCGGGAGCTGGGGGCTGCTTCTGGTCACGCTGTTACTTGCTCTGTTACCTGTGTAAATCCTGGAAATGTGCTTTGTAGCTGTGTGTGCCCTGGGGAAGAGGCAGCGAGGACAGCAGCGTGCCTGTCGGGGTAGGGACTGCCACGCGGCCTCGGGAGCTGGCGTCTCTGTGGCGAGAGGAGCCGGCCTCGTTCAGGGCTGTCGGGCAGGTGTTGGTTTCTGTGGAGATTGGAGTGATGAAACTGTCCTGCTCACAGAAAGACAGAAATAAAGTTTATCCGAGAGACTGAAGGAGGACTGAAACGTTTCTTCCACACCTGGTGTATCTAAACTGCTTCTTGCCTGATTTTGCAGTCTCAGACGCTGATCTGAAAGTCAGCTGAGGTTTAACCCTTACAATTGAAAACCTTTGGTGCTTTACTCCATTTTCTCCTTATGTCTTAACTTCCACACGCGGACAAACTCAAAAGGATGAACGTTGGATTCATTTAAGGGCCCTCCTGGCGTGCTGATCCCTGTGGGAAATGCTCTTCTCCCCATGGAGCTTTTATCCCTGTGGTCCGTGGGGGTGTGCTGACAGCTGCTCCCTTTCTCTTTGCAGCCTGTGTTGAGTAACAAGCCACGAAAGAAAAAAAAGAAAAGGAAAACCAAGAAAACTTCGTCAGGGGAGACTCTGGTACGTCTGCGTTTGCTCTGAGAGTGAGTGACTGTGCTAATTTCTCCCGTGGAATTGAACGAAGTGGCAACTCTGAGGTGGTTTCAGGAAAGGTTTTTGTGGCAAGAATGCTCCTTTTTGTCTTGTACTCATTTAAAATTACGAAATAGCAACAGCAGCCTTTGACTGTGGCTCTGTGAGCAGCCGGGGCTGGCGCAGCTCTGCTGCAGATGCTTAGGGCTGAAATCCTCACAGCAGCACCTTCTTTCATCTCTGCTTCGAGGCTCCATGCGGGAGTGGGTACCGTGCGAGGGCTTTGCATTTCCATTCTCTTTTCCTTGCCCTACTTAGGTAGCTCTCCCGCTCTGCAGAGCCCTACAGAGCTCTCGCCAGCCCTCCCTCACCTTCCCTCTCCCCCCTGCCCAGCCACATGCTGTCGCTGTAGTTCAGCCTCTGAATGGTGACGGGGTCTCGTCTGCTCGTGCGCAGGTGAAGGTGCTGCTGGGGGGCCCCGCTCCGTCCCCTCAGCGCTGAGGGAGCGGGGGACGGGGGTTCTCTCTGGCTCAGCTTTCTACCCCTAAGGAAGTGTGCATGGAGCCAGAGCTTGGCCCAGTTTCTGCGTTTGTTACGGACAAAACTATAAGAAACAAATGTGTATGTTTTAATATACTTTTATCTACCTCAGCTAGGCCAGGAGACGAAGCGGATTTCTCTCTTAAATTCAATAGAAATTAAGTGGGGACTAATTTTCTGCTGAGGTTTAAGAGTCTCAGCGATTCCCTCGGAGGAGATCCTTTGCTAAACATCCTGAGCTGCGGTGTGCTGAAGTGCTGGGTGGGTGAGCCATGTCTCCGGTGAGGGTGCCCAACTGGCCACCGCCTCCTCCCCGGGAATTCAGCTGGGCGAGCTCCCAAGGCAGGGAATTCGATCAAAGAGCTCGTTTCCTCTCCCACTCCAAAACCAACGGGTGATAGGGTGACATCTGCCAGCTGCAGGCTCTAGGAAGACTTCAAACCCTGATGCAGGCAGTTTGATTTGCTAGCTGGAGATAGTACCCCCTTTGTTCGAGCACTTCAATGCAAAGCACATTATAAACTTGTCATCTCTCCGCTCCCCGCAGAGCGGCTATATTTAGCTGCAAAAGGCAAGCTCGCAGGGCTGTTTGGGTGTCATGAATGGAATTCCGTGTTCCACCCACGTACATCATGAGGAGGATGTGAAACGGCCGCCTAAGAAATGCGTCACTTGCTATTTGTGGGGGAAAAATAGAGGGAAATCAGGATAAAAGCGTTACACAACTGTTGAGCGTGCACTGCTGGAGGTACTCTGGGTGGTTTGGAGACGGGGGAGGCGGGAGCACAACGCCTTAGAGTTGGGCTAAAATCACCCCGGCGTTTGATACCTCGTTAGGAGGGATGCAGCAGTAATGTTTCCGTGGAGAGTAGATGGTGAAGGCTGATGATTGAAATATTTATGATTAAACTCGGCACCCCAGCATTTACTGCTGTCACAGGGATTGCAGTGTGAGTGAGGAAGCACAGCGAAGCCTGGGTGGGAGGGGGCAGACTGCAGCCCAGCCAGCCCCCCGGCTCTTGCACACACTAGATAGATCAGCTGGCGCGTTCACACGCACGAGGGTGGGAAAAGCAACAGCCCTGTGATGCCCTGAGCAAGCAGGAAGTGCAGCCAGCCCTTCGGGGGGCCATTGGGTGGGGAAGGTGGGATAAAAGTGCCGAGAGGAGAGCAGGAGGCCTCGCTAAGAGAGCCCGAGGGGCTGCATCGGTATCGCGTGGAGCTCGGGATGAGCTGAGGGACCTGGCAGGAGCCGGGTGTGCGAGCTGCGTGCTGCGGTGGCTCACTCTGTCATAACTGCCTTCTCTTTGCCTGTGTCTGTCTTAAGGAAGACAACGACCTGGAAGACATCGACAGCTTGCTGGAGAAGATTGAGGACACCAGTGGGCTCTCACAGCAGACCCAGAGCGGAATCATCGCTGACAGCCGGCCTCTGCTCTACGTAGAGCACAGGTAGTGCTGCTTCCTTCCTGATTTTGGCCCTTGGGTGTGACAGGGGTATCTGTTCCCCCAAGAAAAGGAGATGGGAGCCACCAGCGTGATCTGGCTGCAAATTCAGGATTTGCTCGGAAGGAGTTGTGGTAATGGATGTGCACGTCCCCGTGTCGAACCGCTGCTCTTAGAGCTGTGTTTGGTTTTGAGCGGTGACTGGTATTCCCCGCTGTCAGGCCTGGTTTGAGCAGGCAACTGGGCCATCTTAGCCTCCATCTTAGCCTAAAACACTCTGAGACTCTGCAGGAGAATCTCTGCAGAGCTACTGAGAGCCTTGATGCTTAAAGCTTTGACATCAGATTCTCCTGGCCAGGTGAGTGGCCGTGTTCAGAGCGGGCGCCGTGAGCAGCAGCCCCAGCGCCACCTGCGCTGTCCTCAGAGGGGGGCCGAGCAGTGCCAGGAGCTAATTTCACCAGCAGAGCAAGTTAGACTTGTGTAACCTTCCCTGCACGTCACCATCAACAAAGCAGACTAAGTGCCAGGTGTGTCCAAGAGCTGAGGAATGAGCCTGCCTCAAACTCGAGACCTGTAACATCTGGGCCTGTATCCACTGGGAAACCTGTTAGGAATGGGCTGGTTGGTGTGTCCAGCGTGTTCTGGAGCCCTGGGCTGGTGCAGACACTGGCAGCTCTTTCTGTTATTGGAGAAAACATTTAAACTTGTAGCTGGGACAACTTGCCAGTCCCGGTTTTGAAACCTCCAGTCACTCTGAGTCTAGGCTGGTGGGCAGTCGGTGCTAGCGCAGCCTGTTCGGGGACCCTGCAGCACAGGCAGAATGTTTGTTTATCTAGGGGTGGCTTTAAACTTCAGTGACTTCTCAGGTCAAGTAGACACTAATTAAAACCTTGGCTGGATAATCTGTGAGTGGGTGAGGGTTGGCTGGATCTCCTCCTTCCCACTCCCTGTCTTCAAGTCCTGCTCACGGGTCAGCAGGGAGAAACCCCTCGGAAATACACCTCCCTTAATCTGGGCCAAATGGTAAAGAAAACTGTTGCTTTGATACCAGCTCTTTGTATTAAAAAAATGTACCGTAATCCTTGCCAGCCTCCCTGCAGTGCTTAGGGTGCTTGCCCCGAGTTGCAGGCTGCTGCTTCTGAGCTCGGCAGCGGGTGTCTTGTGTTCTCCAGGTTTCTCCTGAACGGAGACTGTCCTGGGAGTACCCTGGAGAGGGCAGCAGAAGTATTCCCTGTCTTTGGAGCAGAGCACGAAGGAAGCATGCAGCTGCTCCAACTGGCTTGCAGTGCCTCCTGTTCTGACCTTTTTTAGTCTCTTTTTCCGTGCGTTGTGTCAGATCAGCGGCGTGTGTGACAGGTCGGGGGCTTGGCCAGAGACACTTCGAGGAGCAGAGCGCTGGGTGCTGATGGAGATGATGCCGGTGTGAGACTTCTGGCTGTGTTTAACTGACGGTAGCTTTTCTTTCATGTTTCAACCTTCTCAGAAACTTGAATCCGGAGAATGAGTTGAAGAGATACTTCGGGGCTCGTGCTGTTCTTGGTGATCAGAGGTTAGTCCAGAATTTAATATTAAACCCTTCCAAAGTCCGAGTCGATGTGTGTCTGTCCTCCCCTTGGCATGGCTCACTGAGCCCCCAGTGCCACACCTGGGCAGGGAAGTTGGGGTTTGGGGTGTCTTACTAAACGAGAAGACACTATTCCCCTGTCCCATCTCTTGTTGGGACAGGAGAATATTTTTTTTTGTGGTATATATGGAGGGGACATAAGACTTGTCAAGGCTTTTACTAGCATTTGCTTTTTCTTTTCCTGATTTCCCCTCTCATTTACTACCAAAACACTCTTCTAAAGTCCTTTCATTCAAATTCATATAGACGTTTTTTTTTTTTTCCTCCAGCATTTGTCTCTTGTTGCTGTTCCAAAGTCTCTGATGTCTTACAGAGGGGACCCTGAATATTTTCTGGGGGAGGTCTCATGCACTTGCTTTCAGGGGTGCAGGGAAGCTGCTGCTTTTCAGGTGTGAGGTCTCTGTGCCGTTACCTGCTGCACTGCAGTCGGTGTTACCCAGAAAATCCCCCCTTCTGTGAGCTGGTTGGAAAAAGTATGTACGAAGGGTATAAGCTCAGGGCAGCGATGGTGGAAGGAGAAACCTTCTCTGAGGGAGTCTGTGGGAAAATACTTAGTGCTTGAGGAAGAAGCAACAGTCTCTTACGAGGGAAGATGACTTTCTCAGAGTAGCCTTGGTTTCTGAATTCCTCCTGCCCCGAACCATTAAATCGGTTGCGTTTATGAGCACGGCTTAAACTGAATCAGTTGACGTGTGAAGGCACTGCTGGGAAGAGAGATGAGTCAGAGGGATATGGGACTCTCTTAATTGGACCTGGGAAGCTGTTTGAAGCAAAGAGGCAGCTGAGAACTTGGCAGGAATAAAAACAGGGGAGAGAAGCTATTGAAGTGGAAATGCTGGAGGCACTGGCCGGCCCAGAGAGGAATGGTTCAAGTGAGGCAGAGCCTGGGTGAAAGTGTCTTGAAGGCAAACCTGTTAAAGCTCTGGGCAAAAGCTCCATGTGGCAGGGCTGCAGCTGGGGGACATGTTGGATATCTCTTTTTTTTTTCCTCTTTCCTCCGCGCCCCCTCCCCCCCCCCCCCCCC